ACAAATTTTTTAAAAAAAAATAAGATATATATAATCTTATATATATATATATATATATATATATATATTTTTATTTTTTTTTCCCAGATAAATTATATTTTTGTTTTATATTTGTGTTCGTAGCATTGTATTCTTTCTCTTATCAAAAAAAGAAGAAAAAAGCATTCAAGTCAGAACCTCAAGCCTTTTCAATCTTCATCTATGCATTTACTATTATGGGCCTTAAAGACGCAATGGAGCCCAACACAGGTCTGTCTCTAAGTATTGGGCTTATTTATAAGCTAATTAATATTTAAAAAAAAAAAACGAATAGTCACAGAAAACTCTTGTATTATAATTATAGGATAAACATAAGAAGTTATAGTATAGATAAAGTGTTATGTCGAAATTGATGAACTAAATTTGGTTTTAAAAAATGTTAAATTCTGTCTGTTGGTATTGTTTTTGTGATTTGTCATCTTTTAACCCAACAGATCTTGTCGAATCCAATATCACCATGTCAATTATCAACTATGTTAAGGTAAAATAAAATTGGTTTTTTCCCCCTATTGAAATGTAGTTAAATTTTACTTTTTGTTTCTCTATATTTTTTTTTATCATTATAATTTTTTTTTCATGTACCAAGTCATATCTTCTAATTTGAATTTAATCGCTTACATAAGTTCAAAATGGTTGCATGATCGAAAGTTACTGCTTAGAATTATCGGTGTTTAGAGAGTTTCAAACTTCAGACAAATAAATTAGAAAAAAATTATTAAAATTAACGTATGGATGATAGGTATTTTTCTTAATTATATATTTAAGCTAAGAGGGAAATAGAAAAAACAAAATTGACGAGATAAATATATATCAAGTAGCTATAGGAATATATACATAAATTGTACTGTTGCAAGCTAAAGATACTATATGGCTTATTTCAACATCGCTTTAATTGGCTGGAATAATGTGAATTGTGTTCTGGACTATTGAATTTAACATAGTTGCGTACGTATTATTATTATTATTATTATTATTTTAAATTAAATTATGTATGGTTTCTTTTAAAAATGTATTCCGGCAAGAGTATCGTAATGATTTAAAATATGCATTTAGGTATTGAAGAGAATTATAATATTTAAATTTTTATATTATTTGGATTTTTAGGTAAGATGAGTGTCAATTACTAATTATAAATCAAATTTGTCATAGATATTGACATTTCAAAGGTTCGTTACTGAAGTATATTAAATTTAGATTAACTAAACAAAA